GACGCGGTCTGCGTCGGCAGGATCTTGCAGTCGCCCTCCTTGAACGCGCTCTGGATCTTCGCGAATGAGTAGAGCGCGCCCACCTCCTCCAAGGACTCGCTATGCAGCACCACCCTACACGCCGCCAGATTCTGAGCGTTGGCCGCGCCCACGCGCCCACGGCCGCGCCCGTGGACTCCGTGCCCTCGATGAGCCCCACGAGGGCCGCCTGACTTGTCCACCTCGTCGTTCTTGCCGCCGCTGCGCAGGTCCTGCGCCGCCTCTACCCAGCTCTTGACCCGCGCCCAGGAGGACGCGACTGTCGCCGCAGCCTCTGGGCTGAGCAGCGTGACCAGGGCGATCGCCTCCTGCTGGCGGGCACTACCTTTCGAATCTGTTCTACCTCTCGCATCTCGAGTGAGTCGCTCTTCTCCTTCGGCACCGAGCGGCCGTTGGTCTCCTGCGCCGCCCTCCTCACCCAGCCTGCCCGCGGGCGCCGACAAACGTGGGCCACCGCGGGGGGCCCGAGAGCGCCGCCGAACGCAGCACCGCCGGCAGGGGAAGGCCTCCGCCTCCACGCGGGCAGCTCAGAGGGAGACCGCCTGCCCGCCCGGCCTGCGTTGCGCCCCCCGGCGGGGGTACGCGGCCCCAGCTGGACCCCCCCGCGACGCAGCGCGGCCGCCAGAGCGGCGGGGCCCAGCACTGGCGGGTGGAATGCCAGGGGGCGCCGCGGAAGAGCCCCTCGTGGCCTCTGAAGAGCCTCTTGGGGCCTCTGGTGAGCTTCTCGGGTTTCGTCGCACGGTTCTGGGGGTGACACGCGTCACCCGTTGTTTTTTGCGCACTTGACTGCCCAGGGGGGACAAGGGGCGGGAGGAGGGCGAAGAGGAGGACGGGGGCAGAGAAGGAGGAGAAGGCTGCCCCCGCGGCGCACGCCGCCCGCTCAGTGCGCAGGCGCCGCTCGCCGCGCCGGCGCTGCGATAGCGCGGCCGCCCTGCCCCGACCCCAGGCCCCCGCTTGCCTGGCATCTCGCGCCGCGTCCTCCGACCGTGATGGCGGCCGCGCCAGCTCCAACCCCGCCTGGCTCCCGCACGCTCCCACGCCTGCTCCGGCTCCGACCACATCCCAGCTGCATAGGCCTACTTCGCATCCTGCTCCGGCTCCCCCATCGCCGACGCCTGCCCTGGCCCCGACTATACGGCTGCCCCTCCTCCTAAGGGAGGTGTCCGGTTAGGCTGCCTCGCTGAGTCCTGGGGTGTGAGCTCGCTCGATGGGTGCACCGGCCCATCCTGGAGCTCGGGCCGCACAGCGATTCCTCATGCACGATAGCGGCCACACGGCGGGGACGCCCATCAACCTACGGGGACCCCACATCGACGGAAGCCTCGGCCAGGCAGGTGCTGCGTTCACCCAGGGCGGAAATGATGGGCAGTTATTCAGCATCGCTTCGTGGCCTCCGACTCCGATGGCGGCAGCGCCTGCTCTGACCCCGGAGCGTCCCACACACTCCCAGTCATTCCCGTGCCCCATGCCTGCTCCGATTTCGACCCGTGCTCCGACTCCCACTGGCTCCGACTCCAGCTCCTACGCCTACTGAGGCACTCCCACGCCTGCTCGGGGTCCGACTCCCGGCTGACGCTCAGGTTGACGGCTCTTCGACGGTGCCATCCGCGGTCCTGAGGGCCGCGGTCGTCGAGTTCCGAGGGCCTCAATGTCCGCGGCGTGCTCGGCAACCAGGCTGGGCGCGTGCTTCTCTTCCCTCCTCCTCCTCCTCCTCCTCCTCCTCCTCCTCCTGCCTTCTGCCTCTTCGTGGCGCGCAGGTGTTGGCAGTGTGCTCGTCTGCATGCCCTGCTGGCCTCCTGGCGCCCCCGGGACGCCAGGAGACGCCGCGGGCGCTGCCGCGCCGTGCCAGGTAGGGCACCCTACAGGCATGGATCTCGGCCTCTCCCGTGCAGGATGCCCACGCACTGCGGCGTCTGCAGCCCTGTCCGTCCCCCCTTCCTTCCATGCTCGCTGGCCAATTCGCCAGTTGGTGCCCCTATCTGCACGTTGTTCATTTCTAAGTATTCGAGCGTTCTTGGATTCTTCGGGGGCCAAGATCAAGATCCTCTCATTTCTAATTCTTCCATCCTGGGCCGCTTCCTGGCCACTAGGGGGCCGGGAACAATTAGAAACGAGCACAATTAGAAACGAGCACGATTAGAAATGACGTGTAGCTTCTCGCTGGAGCGGCTTTCGCCGCCTCGCTGCCAACGAACAGAAAAGAAGTCCGCAGCCCTTCCTGTCCTCTGCGCCTTCTCTCACCTGCACGAGGGGCCCGTTGGCTGTGATCGTGCGCTGTCCCCCTCCCGCGTCGCTGCCTCGTCCCTGTTCCCCGGGCTGAACCTCAACGGTGTTTTTCGTTTTCGTTTTGTTCTCCTTTTCCTTCGCTTTTGTCTCGAATGCGCCTTTACCGCAAAACGACGGCGAAACGAAAACGGCCCACGAAATCACCAAAAACACCGTTTAGGTCCAGCCCTGCCTGTTTCCCCCCTCCCGTCCTTCCTCCTGGCGCTGCTCTGCGGCACCCGCTGGAGCACCCGGAGCGTGTCTGGACGCTGGCTGGGGGAACCTCGACCGCGTTGGCACGACCGCCTGTCTGCTGCTGTGCGCTCGGCGTTTGTCCGCCCGCCCGCTCTCCCGCCTCTCCTCCTGCTCCCCCTCCCTCTTCTCCCCTGCCATTGTGAATGTGTTGCCTGGCCGTCGAGGCCGTTCATTACGGGTCTGACCAACAGCAGTTTGGCAGGCCAGGGGATGATACGTGTTGGGGCTAATTCGTAGCCTTCGCCTTTCGCTTCCTCTGTTTCCTCCTCCTCCTGGACCGCTCGCCCGGGCAATAGTCGTCACAGGTAGCTCTTTTTGTTTGCGTCTGTCTGTCCAGGGGGGCAGTATTTGTCCGCTCCAGCCAGCGCCTACACTAAGCAGCAACGTACTCGTGGCGAGGCCCGATGCCGTCCTCCTTGACTGGGTTTTCGGTCACGTTCGTAGGACGGCCTTGCAACGAACATGATAATTGCCAGCTCGCTCGGCAAGGCGAGTTATGTATATTATCGCGGCCCGCTACCATCTACTGCTCCTCCCTGGGCCTCCCCCCCCAAAAAAAAAGCTTGCTCAGCAGGCGGGGACCCTGGCACTCCCTCGGTCGCACAGGCGGGTCACCTGGCGCAAGATTCAGTTGAACCCGGAACCACCCCCGGAGGTCCCCTTGCCCAAGGGGGGCCAGGTGGCACGCATCCGTGAGCTTCCCCTGGCCACGTCGTGGCACGGGGTGGCCCGAGTGCGGAGACTGGAGCTGGGGCGGACAGGTTGCCAGCCGTTCAGTCCCTCCGCGCCCGCCCGCCGCATAGGGGGGGTTCATGCGGGCTGCAGCTCACCCCAGGGCGCTGAGGGGTGCTGCACCGGCCCGTCAGCACCGGCGGGCAAGAGGAGGAGGACGAGGAGGAGGAGGAGGAGGAGGAGGAGGAGGAGGAGGAGGAGGAGGAGGGGGAGGAGGGGGAGGAGGAGGGGGACATCCTCATCCTCCCCTCTCCCCCGCCCTACCTGTGGTCGTGGCGGTGCGAAATCGGCCCATCCTCGGGGCCCTCTGGACCCGCCGCGCGGGCGTCGCTCCTGCAGCAGCAGCCGCCGATCGCCAGTCGCCTGGCGCGAGGCCTCCGCCACACGTGCCCCCCTCGCCCTCACTGCGGGCCGCCCCCCGAGCCCCGCGGCTCTCCTCCTGCCGCCTTCTGCTGCGAAAGAGGCCCAGGGACACACACACACACACACACACACACACACACATCTTTACATATCTCTATATATACATACGTATACATATTCATATCTATACACATACATACATACATACATACACACATACACACATAGATAGGCACACGTCCCAGGATTCCCTGCATGTTCCACATATCCTGGAGGCTCGTCTTCACCCCCCCCCCACTTGCTACGCTTTCCCGGATTTCCTGGGGGGTCGACACTTCTGCGTGCCAGTGCTTGTGTTGTTCCCTTCTGATGCCGGTGCTCCTCGCCTGCTCCCCCCCCCCCCGATGCCCTCGATATCTTTCCTCCCAGCTGGTGCGGGGGGAGGGACAGACAAACACCAATAGGAATAGGGACGAGACAAACAAAACGTTGTACATGCCGCGGCCGCTGGAGACCAGCAGCAGCACGACACAGTGAGACTACCCAGAAGTCAGCACCTTCCAGGGGTGAAACCCTCCTCCTCCGCCTCCTCCAGGGGGACAGGCCTCGACCTGGAAACTGCACCTGGGAGGGGGAAGGAGGGGAGACGCTGCTGCTCCCGCTCCTCCCCATCACGTTGCATCTTCGGGGGACCTCGTCTGTCCCAGAAGTGAGTGTCTTCTCTTCAGCCTGGCGCGGGCTCGGTGCGGACTCGACGTGGATTTGTCACGGGATCGAGGCGGATTCGACGTGGATTCGCCGCGGATTCGAATTCGACACGGATTCTACAGGGATGTGTTGCGGATGGGGGCGCGACGGGACAGACGAGGTCCCCCGAACATGCAACACAACCCCCTTTCCCTCGGCCGCAGGGGATCTCCGCGCAGCGCCCTGAGCTCGTTTCCTCCCTCTCCTCCTTCTCCTTTCCCTCTCTCCTCTTGCGCGAGCCTGCGATGCTTGAGGACTGTGGCGTGGCGGCGGACGTTGACCACGGCATTGTTCGAAAGATCGTATGGATGGGAGCTGACGTTGGAGTAATTACGGTGAATGGTAAACTTGTTGGATCATCTCACGCCGATCGTGTTGGTCGTAGCAATCAGGCCGTTCGCAAGGCGGCAGTGATGTTAAGTCGGGCCTGTCCCTCTACAGGAGGAATATTCAAAAATTGTCAAACAATTGTCGGGTGAGGATTTTTTGATTATGTTTGCCCATTTGGGGGGTATGTTTGAGTATTTGTTATGTTTCGTCCAGAATCCCCCCGACTTAATGGTAATGTCGGCGGGGAGTGTACATAAACACGCCGCCAGCTTGTTGACGTCCAGCTCTCCGCAGGAGGACGTGGCGGTCAAGGCCGGGAGAGCAGCATCCCCATCCTTGTCCGTATCCCTCCCTTTTCTCCCACTCTCCCTTCTTTGTGTCATCCTTGTCCTCCTAATCTGAAGTCGGGTCTGTCCCTCTACAGGGGAAATATTCAAAAATAGTCAACACATAGTGTGGGGACTATTTCTTTTTATGCCATTGTTGCGCATGTTTTAAATCTGTTTGGGGTGTTTTCTATTTTTCGTTCAAAATCGGCCTGTAGGGGGACAGGCCCGACTTAATCCTAATCCTCCTTCTCGTCCTTTGTAGTTCGTGGGCATGTTGCGTTATCTGTGTGCGCGTCGGCCAACGCAGTCGCCGTTCCCTTCGTGCGACACTCTGGCATTGTCGTGCACGCTCTCAATATCACCTTGCGCCCTGTCACCAATCCCTTTACGTTGGTCTCGAAGTTTACCGTCGGTTTCCCCATCGGTACCCGCTCAAGGACGCCCCCCACGCTTGCCAATAGATGAAACAACAATAGTGCGGCTGGCATTATAAACGTGGCGTCTTTAATTCGCATGCGCAAGTTAGCTGGGGGTTTTGTCATCACCAACGACTTGCGCTGCACACGCACCCCTTTTACACGACATATTCCCCCCTCGTTTTCCCACCTCTCTCCCTCCCCCTCCCGACCCCCTCCTCTTCCCATCTCCCTCCCTCCCCTGTCCCCTCGCTCCCCTCCCGTTTCTGCGTTCCTCCCGCCCCTCCCGCCAACCCCCATCCTTTTCTCCTCCGTCTTCTTCTTCTTCTTCTGTAGCTGGCGGCTTGGAGCCTGCCCGTCTGTGGAAGCAGCCATGCACCAGAGCGAGGGACAAGTTGCGGTCGGGCGGGTGGTCATGGGGGGTGACCTAAATTCGGGGGTGGACAGACCTCCTACCCTGACACGTCGATTAGCGAATTGGCCGTTTTCGGTTCGCGAGAGGGCGTCGCGGCCGTCATTTTTGCAGGTCCAGGTCCGTCGGTTTCGGTCCTAGGCCGCTTTCCCTAAAGGGAGATTTGCTAAATGGAGGCTTGTCCACCGCCGATAAAAACGGAGGTGGAGGACAGGGGCCCCAAGGGGGCCCTTTGGGACCCCTTTTGGGCTCCTGAAGGGGCCCTAACGGGTCCTTGTGGGGCCCTGTTTTTCACCCCCCAATGTAGGCGGCCAACCCCCATTGCCACCCGCCCGAACAAGAGGGCATGCGTCACTCCTCTCGTCGTCTCCCCTCCCACTCCGGCCTCTGCCTACAGCAGGCCCAGATTAGTAGGTCGACCCTGCCAAATCAAGGGTACCCTTGTGTCCTGTGTCTCGCGACCCAAGCTTTCTACATTCCTGTGGCAATGTGGCCCTCGGAAGGGTCTTGTGTCCTCTCGCGTGTCCTGTCCAATCAGTCCCGACTGTACCACCAATCAAGGCCGACTGTACAACTACTCGATGCGGAGGCCACCCTCTCCTCTCCCCGGGTGCTGCGCGAGCTGGGCTTTTTTTCACGCGCAGGATGTCAGGATGTGTTCCCAACCGTCCTGCGGTGCTGGGCTCCCGTTTTGAAGAGAGCTCCTCGCGTTCCTCTCCTCTCCTTCTCCTCCTCCTCCCCCTCCCACCCTCCCCCAGCATTATCAGCATCAGCACCATCGTCGCAACCATCATCAGCATCATCATCATCATCATCATCATCATCATCATCATCAGCAGCAGCATCGACATCATCGTCATCATCACCACCATCATCATCAGCATCATCATCATCGCCGTCACCATCACCATCATAGTCATCATCATCACCGTCATCAGCACCATCATCGCCACAACTTCCGGCAACCGCCTCACACGATTCGTGGACTCATAGGGAGTTCCACCGAAGGTCTCAGTGGCGTAGTTCGCATGCGTCCGCGACACCCGTTTCAGCGAACCCCCTCACACGTTCCGTGGCCCCATAGGGAGTTTCACCGAAGGCCCCAATGGCAGCGCCCGTGTGCGGTCCCACCTCCTCGCAAGTTTCGTGGCCGCATTCCTGCACTTCTTCGGCACGCTGGCGACGGTCTGAACGATCGGAGCGGCTCTGCCTTTTCTTCCCCCGCTGCTCTCCCCGCGCCCCGCCGTGCACCCATTCGCTTCCGGCGTGTCCCGTCCTGCTTCGGCTCGCTGGCGCCGCCGGACCGAAAAAAGAAGACATGCGCTTTCCGATCGCAGCGCTTTGCCCGAGCACTTGTTTGCACCCAGGGGCTCTCGCTTGGTTCCGAACAGGAACTGGGCTGGAGAGTCGCCCCGGCCGGCTTGTGCTCGCCCCGTCGCCGCCCCGTTGCCGCCCCGTCGCCGCTCGTCACCACCCACCAAGCCACCCCAACCCACCCCGAAGGCCCACGTTGCCGCCCCGTCGCCGCTCGTGGCCGCCCGCCGCCACCTCGTCGCGGGCACGCGTGTCGTCCCAGACGGACTGAGGTCGCCCCGTGGCCACCCCGTCGCCGCCCCGTGGCCGCTCGTCGCCGCCCGTGGCCACCGCCTCGTCGCCGCACTGCGCGGCAAGCGCGCGACGCTGTGCTGCACCACGCAGGTTGCACCACGTGTGTTGAGTCACGTAGGTCGCACCAAACATATTGAACCACGGCGTTTGCACCACGTAGCTCACCACACCACATGGAGTGCATCGCATCAGTTCCACCACTACATATTGGACCACGTAGCTTACACCACACATATGTCTTAACATCTACGGCACCACATGCAGTTCACCATTGTTTTACGCTGCTGTGTTTTGCATTGCTCTTCGTTGTTTGGCATTGCTTTGCGTTGGTTTCCACTGCGTTGCATTGCGTTGCGTCGCGTCGCGTTGCGCCGCACATCTTTCCCTGCCAAGGAAGGAATTGGGATCTACCGCTCCCCCGAGTCTAGGATTATCGATTCCTCCTGGGACGCGCAAGTTGCATGCGGTTTTGCCCATTCGTTCATTTTCATTATGAATCCATACCACCCCAGCCGAATCAAATTCGACTCCATCCCACACCACCCTGCGCAAAACAAATCATGCGCGCACGCCCTTTTTTACGAAACGAAACATCAATGTTCTAGCACTCCTTACAAAATATGGGGAGACGTGCGCACGCGCGCGTCGTGCGCACGCTCCGGGATATTTCAACAGTTTTATTTTTCTCGCAGAATTCAAAGTCGGGTGTCCTGAAAACATACGAAAAACAGTTTTTGGCAACACCTCTTTTCAAAACAGGTCTGCCCGCTCGCTCTTCTGCCAACTATCAAGTAACCATCCCCCTTGTCCATGCTCAGTACATGCGGCCAGAGGACTCCCGCGCGCGCATGTCGAAATCATTCGAACGCCCTTGCGCGCGTGTTTGGGCGGAAACGATCCCTGTCAACTCATACCATGCGGGCCACTGGCGCCAGTCGGGGGCGCAAGCATGTCGAAATCCTTCCCAGCACCTCCATCGCCGACGCGTGGACACCATCATCGTTATCGGCGTGATCGACATCGCCGCCGTCATCGGCCTTGCCATCGCCACCGTCATCGTCATCGTCATATCGCTATTATCATCATTGTCATCATCATCATCATCGCGCCTGCCGTTGTCGACGTGTCTATGAAGCTGATCGTTCGAGGCTTCAAGGACGCCGACGCCGATCTAATCGTCACCTATGCCGGCGCCTCATCGCGACTCTCCCAGCGCGCGATTGTCCGAGGCCGCCTGCCGATGATCGATGCGTGGGATGTCTAGAAAGCCGCCCTGATGGGCGACGCCGTCACAATCGTGCGCAAAGCAAAGGGGCGCGAGCACTTCGACCCAGCATTCGAAGTTCTCTTCGTGGTGAAACCAGGACCCAGGTGCATGGACACCCCGAGATGCTGGTCGATCTCACCCACCAAGATCACGAATCAAATGTACCAGGCCATCCCATCACTATACGACACCCAGTCCACCGCCCAGCAAAAGTGTGGCGAGCTCGTTCTGCTGACCGCCGAACACGTCGACGACATCAACGTAGCAGGGCCGCCGCGGGAAAATGCCAAGTTACGTCAGTCTCTGGAGGGCGCCGCCGGCAAAGGTGAGCCGGATATCAGCGAAGAAAACTTCACGCACAGTGGCGCGCATCATTCCACGTGTGAGTTGGACCAGACCGAGTACATCCAGGCCTTGAAACCAATGGGAAGCGCCGAGCTCCTCGGCAAGTCTGACTCCGATCTCGCCTCAGAGATCCTGGCCAAGTTGTGCCTCGGCCTGCTCGTGGCATTGGTTTTCGCGCTCGTCGCGCGACTCGGCCCGCGCGTCTACGCGGTCGCACTTCAGCGCCACGCAGCGGCGCCAACGCGCGGCCGCATGCGGAAGCTCAGCGAGCTTATGAGACGGGCGCATGCCAAACCATCGCGAGCCCACGATCCACCCATGCGCCGCGCAAGCAAATTAGAAATTCACAGCGATGCAGCACTCGAGCAAAACAGAAGGAAGGCGCCGACGCGGGACGGGACCTGCGAGGAGCCACCTTCTTGCGCATGGGCGCTAGTAGCACGGGCGCCCAACGGACATTTGTTGGCAGGTAAAGGCGCCACCTACTAGACTGGCAGCGTGGGGCATTCAAAACGGCGACGCGAAGCACCTTTGCAAGTGGGCTGATGGCCGCGATCAGTTCAACAGAGCACGGCCTCGCTCTGGCCGCCGCGCTCCACGAGGTGCTCGAGGGGCCCCAAGGCCTTGGGGCAGCGCGTCGCCAACGAGATCGTCAGCAGCCACTCGCTGCACTCAACGGGAGCGGTCGCCGCCGTCGCGGCTGCGAGACCCGAGCCCCCTGCCGAACACTCGCGATTGCCGCGCGCGCTTCGGTTCCGCGTCTTCCTGGGCTCGGGCCAAGTCCTGGCCCTGAGCTGAGAAGACATGGGGTATGCTCGCGGACGGGCTGGCCGAAGGCAGCATCGATAGATCTGCGCCTTGCGACGTAGTTGGTGGCTCTCGCCAGCGGCCGCCCTCGCCTCGGCTGGCACGTTCGCTGCGCTATGAAGCCATGGGCGCCGGCCGACTCCCGACAACTGACAGTTGCAAGCATGTGCGCGTGGATAGTTTCGCGCCCCATCCCCCCCCAGAAACCATCCGCCCTGCTCATCTCTATCCCCCATCGGAAGGCTCGTCGCATTGCGCGCGGCGGCTGGGGGGCGTGTGTTGCAGCGCGGCAGTTCGGGAAGGAGAACGCGGGCAGGGGCCTCGCCATCGCGGTGTTCAGCGCGCCCCGAGGCACGCGCGCGCGTGCGCGGGCGCGCAGGACAAGGGCGCAGCTGTGATAAGTAGGTTCGAAAGTAGATCATATCGCTGTCGTTTTTCTTCGGGCAGGCCCGTGCGCCCGCGGGCCAGAGCGCGCTGGGCCGCCGTTCGCGGCTCGCGCGCCGTCGGGCACGCGCGCGGGCACCCGGCGCGCGTCGACGCGCGCTGGCGGCCACTCGCTGTCGCAGCATGACGCGGAGTCAGCCGCTGGGGCCTCTTGGACTGCCGCCGCCTCGCCGTTTGCGGACAGCGCCCTCTGCGTCGCTGTCGCCCGCGGAAGAAGCGCCGTCATCCGGCGGTTTCGCGCTCGCGACGTCCACGGGTCGAGCCGAGCCACGTGCTCGCCCTCCCGCGCCCCCTCCTGGCGCGCGGTCAGCGCGTGGGATCCAAAACGCAGAGCTCACCGTGATCCGCCTCCTGGCGCGCCCCCGTCGCAGCCCCGCCAACTACGGGGCAATCGCGACAGTTTCAGCGATAGCTTCAGCAGTTCAGCGAGGAAGGGCGCGCCCCGCGCGTCGCCTCAACCTCATCTGCTCCTCCAGGTCACGCCAGGGCCCGAGCAACTTCCCGGCCCCGGTCTCGCCCGCCGTCGCCCCGCAGGCGCCGAATGGCCGCCGTGTCCAACGCGCAGACGCTGCCGCCCAGCAGAGCTTCCACGCTGGCCCCGCCAAGCGCCGCACCTCCCCCCGGCGCGCCAGCTGCGGCATTCGCGAAGGATTCATGTCGCCAGGCGTTCAGCTAGAGCGACTCCGAAGTGGTGGAATTCTTTACGCTTCGCGTATCCCCACCAGCCCATCTCACAGCAGCAACTCTCGCGAAGCATGCCGACAGTCGTGTTTTTCAGGCGTGTGTCCGCTTGGCCCCGCATATCTCCCCTGTTCCTCCTTCCTCCCGCCTCCTTGCGCATCCTCCTTGTGAGGGGAGCGGGAGAAGGACGAGGCGGAGGAGGAGGGAGAGAAAGCGCTCCTCGTGATTTGAGTCGTTTGGGGTTTCTTGTCCTGGTGTGAGTCGTTCGGGCCCTTCTTCCTGGTGTGAGTCGTTCGGGCTCTTCGTGGTGTGAGTCGTTCGGGCTCTTCGTCCTGGTGTGAGTCGTTCGGGCTTCTCGTGGTGTGAGTTGTTCGGGCCCCTCATCCTGGTGTGAGTCGTTCGGGCCCCTCCTCCTGGTGTGACTCGTTCGGGCTCCTCGTGGTGTGAGTCGTGAGGGGCCCGCGTCGTGGTGTGAGTCCTTCGGGCTCCTCGTGGTGTGAGTCGTTCGGGCGCCTCGTCCTGGTGTGAGTCGTTCGGGCCCCACCTTGTGGTGTGAGTCGTTCGGGCTCTTCGTGGTGTGAGTCGTTCGGGCCCTCGTCCTGGTGTGAGTCATTCGGGCTCCTCGTGGGGCCTCTTGGGGGCCTCTTGGAGCCTCGTGGGGCCTCTTGGGGGCCTCTTGGGGGCCTCTTGGGGGCCTCTTGGGGGCCTCTTGGGCCTCGTGGGGCCTCTTGGGGGCCTCTTGGGGGCCTCTTGGGGGCCTCTTGGGGCCTCGTGGGGCCTCTTGGGGGCCTCTTGGGGGCCTCTTGGGGGCCTCTTGGGGCCGCTTGGGGGCCTCTGGGGGGCCTCTTGGAGGCCTCTTGGGAGCCTCCTGGGTGCCTCTTGGGGCCATCTTGGGGCCTCGTGCGACCTCCTCAGAAGCGCAAATGAGAGCTGCCCCCGGAGAAGGACAACATGAGCCCAAAACCTTCGTAAAATCAATGATTTTGCTATGAGGGAAGATGAGCGCGGCCCACTCAGAAGGCCAAGAGGAGGCCAAAACCTTTGTAAAATCAATGATTTCTGATTCAAAGACGCGCAGGGGGGGCAAACTCGGCCCCCCCGTCGGGGCCAGAATCCTTGTGAGGGTCGTCGTTTTTTGGCCCTCCGAGGAGTCGAAATGGACCCCCCTGAGAACACCCAGGACTCCCTGTCCAGGCCCAGGGGGAGGGGGTAGGAGGAGGGGTAAACCCCTCCCCGAAGGGGAAGAAGGGGGGTTGGGGGGTTGAGAACAGAGAAAGCTCTCTAAACCACTCACGCCCAAAGGGCTGGTGGGATTCATCTTGATGCGGCGCGTGCGCGACCCGATCCCTGACTTGCTGGTGCGTGGGAGCTCGTGCTCAGCGCGGGTCATGGAGCCGGGGGCGCGCGCCGCGATCACCCGCGGGGCTCGTCCGGCCGCGGTCTCGGTGGATGACGTGCAGTCGTTAATCATGCGACAACAAGCCGCTCGACCGTTCTTTGGTCGCGCACGACGCCAGGCTGCGCGCCGCGCGGACTTCGTGTGCTGCGCAACAAGAATGCCGAGTGCCGCCGATGCTGGGCACTCGGCAATCATGGCTCGTGGCCAGGTTTCGGGCCAGACCCCCTCTCGGCCTCTGATGAGTCGGTCCTCGGCGCGCCCTCTACCAAGAGCGGCCCTCTGGGCCCCGAGAGGCCAGCGCTGCCGACGCCGTGGCCATCGCGCTCCCCAGCGCCACAGGGCGCGCGCGCGCGCCGCGCGCTCCGCCTGGGCGGCGCATCTCATCAGGGACTCCGCCCGGGTCCCCATCTCTGCCCCGCGACCTGGGGGCGGAGTTCGACGGGGGCCGCGCTGCTTGCGGCTCGAGCTGGAGGCCGATACTGCACCGCCCTTCAGCATCGCGCCCGTTCTGGACGAGGACGGGAGCCACGGCGCCCGCCGGCTCAACCACAAGAACACGAACAAACCCATTCGCGCGACCGCCGACGACCCGCCCAGATAATAATAATAATAATAATAATAAGAAGAAGAAGAAGAAGAAGACGACGCGCAAGGCAAGAGAGAAGGTCAAGCGCAGGCGCGCCAGTGCGGCCTTCCGCGCGGCCGCCGCTGGCGAGCCAGGCCAGCCCTCGCCCGCGGGCAGTGCCGAGGCTGAGGAGGCTGAGGCCCCTGGCACTCCCAGCGGGGAGGTTGCCTTCATCCGTGGGCGGAGTGGCCCGCGCAACTCTTGATTGCGGTGAACTTCGAGGCGATCGCGCCAAAAAGTGAGCGCATTCTTCGCGATCTTTCTCCACCCATCACGTTTTCCGACATGCCAGGTCAAGGCGTCTTCGCACCTCCACTTCGCCCTTCGCGCGACCCTAGGGCCATCGCGTCGCCAAGGTTTTAGGGCAGGCTTCGAGACGCCACGTCTGCGGCCCGAGGCCAGCAACATATACAGATGGGCCTGGGCGAACTCACGCCATCCCCACTCACGCGCGCGAGCTCCCCCGCTGCTGCTCCAGAGCTGCTCCACACAGCATGAGTGCGTTAGTTACCCGTCAAAAAGGTGAGCTCGCGCCCCGCCGCGTCGCGCACCTCCAGTTCAGACAGGGAGGGAGGGCCCTTGCAGAGCCTCGGATTCGCTGGGTTTGGACATTGGATAATCATGGTTCCCGTCTTCTTTTGTCCTTCTTCTCCGCTGGAGCTGTTCCATCGCCCGCGCAATCCCGACTCACATTGGATGTTTTGCCGCCGCTTGGCTACAGCGCCGGCGCGTACTTGGATGACGCGCAGGGGAGATCAACGTCACAATCACCATTTGATTGCCGCCATGCTTTCTCTCGTGCAGCTTCGAATCCCTTCAATTCTCATTATTATCCTCCACCTCCTCCTCCTCCACTTCCCCTCGCTGCCTCTTCTTCTCCTACTCCTCCTTTTTCCCTTTGCTCTCCCTCCTCCTTCCCTCGGCCGAGAGGCGACGGGCATGCCGCGGGCCCCAGTCGTGCCGGAACGGTACAAGTCGGTCAGCGTCCCCGGTCTCGCCGATGGCCAGCTGGGTCTCCTCCCGGAGGCCTTGCGGGGGCGTGGCAGTGCAGCGCAGGGGAGACCCAGGCACAATCGCATCGTAGCCTTAAGTCGGGCGCGTCCCCCTACAGGGGGATTTTCGACGAAAAATAAAAGATACCTTAAAAATAATCAAAAAAGTCGTCCAGAAATAGTTTGGGGACTATGTTTTAAATATTTTTTACTTTTTTGGCGTATTTTTGGGGTATTTATTATTTCTCATCGAAAATCCCCCTGAAGGGGGACACGCCCGACATTATCGTAGCCATTTTCGGCCTCCGGGTGCCCTCGCCGGGGCCTTGGGGCCATCAAGCCGGCCCCTGGGAAATGGTCGGGATTTCCGTGGTCCGCGCATTGAAAAAAAATAAGGGCGTCGCGTGTCTGGGGAGGGATGGCCCGTATTTGCTCGTTGTGGGACAATCCCAACCTTTCAGCGCATAGCAAAAACAAGGCGAAGGTTTTCCGTTGTTGTCGGCCTCTTGGGGCGGTCGCCGGGCTGCAGGATCGCGACGAGAGAACGGCCCTGAGGAAAGGGTTGGGACGTTTGGGGGCCGCGTATTGCAAACATCGGGGCCCCGGGGCTTTCAGCAAAAACAACTCGGGATAATGAGCAGGTCCTTGGGAACGGGTCCAGACATTTGGGGGTCCACGTCGTGAAACAATCGCGCCGTCGGATGTTGGACGAGGGGGCACGATGAGGGAGCGGAGGAGTGACGGGGGCAGGGAGATGGGGCCAGCAAGGGGATGGTGCGGGGAGGGAGAGGGGATGAGTCAGCAGGAGAAGGAGGTGGAGGTGGAGGTGGAGGAGAACAGCTAGCACAGACATAGTATCAGGAGGAGGGCGAGGAAAATTACGAAAGCCACAGCACACCCAGGACGCACGAGCGATGTTGCAATGCACCCTCCCGTCTTGAGCCCCCGCCTGCTTCTCTGATCGCTTCGCTCCTTCTGCTGACCCGTGCACTGGCGTCTTTGCTGCGTGCTCGTCTGGCCGTCGCGGCTGGGAATGCGTTAGTGTGCTCTTGGTTGGCACAGAGCTCCGTGCGGTGCCAAAGCCACTGACGCCCACGCGCATATCCTTAAGCTCTGGTGGATGCTTGACTGCTGCGCCCGATGCTCGGCCCATATTGCAACACTGTGGCTGTGTGTTGGTGTGCTGGTGGCGCGCGGGACGGAGGAGGAGGAGGAGGACGAGGACGAGGACGAGGAGGAGGAGGCGGAGGAGGAGGAGGAGGAGGAGGAGAGGCGGTATGAGGAGGAGGAGGAGGAGGAGGAGGAGGAGGAGGTTGAGGAAGAGGAGGCGGCTTACCGATGGCTTCTCGGGGCATTCTTGGGACCAAACTGGGCCGTTGATGCCTTTTCGGGAGGCTCCTTGGGGCCTCTTTCGGAGGCCTCTCGGGGGCTTCGTGGCGGCTGTCGGCAGTGGACCATGCCTCTTCGGGAGGCCTCCGTGGGCATCTTCGGAGGCCTCAACGGGGGCCACATGCCGACATGTTCGTCAGCCCCCGAGACCTTTGGGGGGACTCTCGTGGCAGCTTTTGGGGCCTCTTTGGGGCTTTTCGGGGTCTTGCTGGCGGGCTAGACATGTGAGTTTGGATTCCCCCTCTTGGGGCCCTCTTGGGGGCGTCTGCAGCTCTCTTGGGAGGCCCCTTGGGCCGTCTCGGAGTCCTCTGGGGCCGTCTGGGGCCGTCCTTGGAGCATCTTGGGCTGGCTCGGGGCGATCGTGGCGGTTTTGGTCCGTCCCGGGCGGTCGGAAACCCGCAGAGGCGGTGACGCAAACGTCTTCCGAAATCCCCCAGGCAGCTCTTACACTCGGGGGCTCTTACTTCGCTTCTGAGGCAACTAACCTCTTGTGCCGCCGTGACCGGCTGCCGCCCGTCGCCGCCCGTCGCCGCCGTCGACGCCGACCCCCAGAGCAGCCCCGGCCAGCTCGTTGCCGCCCGTCAGCGCCGGTCGGCGCCCGTCGCCGCCGGCCGTCGTTGCCCGCCGCAGCCAGCCGTCCCCGCCACCTGCAAGCGCATTGCGTTGCATTGCAATTGCACTGCGTTGCGTTGCGTCGGCTCAAGTGTTTCGCATCAGATCACCTGGACCTGCCTTGTGTTGCGCTGCTTGTCCGTTACTTTGCATCGCGCTGCACTGCTGGGCATTGCTTCGAGTGGCCTCGCATTGCTTCGCATTGCCTTGCATTGGTCTGTCCTGCTTTGCATTACCTCGCATTGGTTTGCCTGGCTTTTCATTGCGTTGCATCGCATTGCACTGCTTGGCATTGCTTCGCATTGCCTCGCACTGCTTCGCAACGTATTACATTGCGTCGTAACGGCTAGCATTGCATTGCCTTGCATTGTTGCATTATTTCGCACTGCCTTGCGTTGTTTTTTCTTTCTTTTCAAAACACCGTATTGCATTACTTTGTATCGGTGTCCTCTCTGTATCGCATCGCAGTGCACTGCAATGCTTCGCATTGCATTGCAGTCGAATTGCCTTGCTTGTCATTCCTCTGGATTGCTTTACATTGCTTTGTAATGGTTTGCAAACTTTCGCATTGGTTCGCATTGCTTTGTATTGCGTCGCATTGCTTTGCAATGCTTCGATTGGTTAACATTGGTTTGCACTGCTCCGTATGGCGCTGCATTGCTTTACCTTGCTTTTACCTAGCTTTGCATCGCATCGCGTTGCTTTGCATTGCTTCGCATTGAGTCGTATTGTTTCGCATTGTGTTGCATCGTTTTGCATTGATGTGCGTTGCTTCGCATTGCTTTGCATTGCATTGTTTTCCTTTGCACTGCTTCGCATTGCTTTGCATTACGTTCCATTCATGTGCAAGGCTCCGCATTGCTTTGCCTTGCTCTTCATTGCTTTGCATTGAAGGGCAATCGCATTGAATTGATTCGCATTGGTTTGCAATGCGTTGCTTTGCTTTGCATCGCTTCGCATTTCTTTGCATGGTTTCGCATTGCTTCACATTGCTCTTCCTTTGCTCTGCATTGCTCTGCATTGCTTTGCATTGCTTTGCATTGCTTCGCATTGCTTTGCATTGCTTTGCATTGCTTTACATTGCTTCGCATTGCTTTGCATTGCTTTGCATCGCATTCCAGTGTTTGGTATTCCTTTGCATTGCCCCGCGTTCCCTCGCAATTTGTGCATTGCCTTGCATTGCGTTGCGTTGTTTTGCATGGATCTCCGGATCGGGTGCATTATGTTGCATTGCGTTGCATTGCGTTGCGTTGCGTTGTGTTCCCGGGTGGATCTTCGGGACTGGCGAGTTCGAGTTCGGCGGCAGCGGCTCCACAGCCAGCGGCAGTCGCAGAGGCTTCGCAGGCCCCAGACCCAGAGGCGGCGGAAGGCGCCCGACTCGAGCGAGAAGCCCAGCAGTCAGCAGAACAGTGGCTAGAAGTCCGACAGCATGGAGAGCGGAGAGCCAGTCGGACGCGGAGGTTCGTTCAGCGGCAGCGGCGTCGACGACGCGAGGGAGAGGCCGAAGGAGCTCAAGGTCCCGATCTGTGGAACCAAGCAGCAGCTACGCGGGCGCCTGGTCCGTGCCGAGGCGAAGCTTGAGTTGGCGATGTGGGGCGAGAAGTGGTACGAGGAGCGCGCGAGTGAGCTGGGGCTGGAGGCCAAGGCGGAGGCATCGCCCCCAGAGCTCCGACAGAGCAGGCACGAGAAACGCGAGAGCGACTCGAAATCACGCACCTCCCCTGCAAGCCGCGGCGCGTGCGGTGCGCGATGGGCAAAACCAGCCAGGGCCGAGCCGCGCGAGCAGAGGCCCGAGGGGTCCAAGAAGCTGCCAGAGTTCGAGATGGACTTCTGCCGCTTGCTGCAGGACCCGAAGAGGCGACGCCAACCTGGAGATCAAACGCGGGTTACCGCGCCGGCGCTGGTGGACGCGAGCGCGCAGAATCCCATGGCGACGTCAGTTCCGATGAAGTCCGACGAAACCAATCTCATCTCAGCTACGTGCGCATCATTCGTCAAGTGGATGGCGCATCAGAAGGCGATCCCCAAGGTCGACCTTGAGCAGGCCCTGGGAGCGATCGCAGAGAAGGGCAGAGAGAGAGGTACCTGACGGACGGCATCAAGCTCGAGATCATAGAGACGCCGAGGTTCAGCAGCCAAAGCGTCGGAGCAGCAGGATGAGCTCGGCAGACAGCGGAAGGCCAGATCAGGACGATGAGGCTCCAGATGGAGGCAAGGACGGGTTGCGAGGAAAACCCCATCCATGGACGTCTGGCCGCGGATGGCAAGGCGCGCCGGCTGGGCGATCGAGCGCTGCCACGCGAAGGCGAATCACAAGACAGCCTGCGAGGACAGCTTCGGGGAGGCGTGCCAAAGTGAAGTTTTGAAGCGCGGCGAGTCTGCGCTCTCCAAGTCAGCAGTCGCCCAGGCTGGGTGAGTTCGAGCTGGAGTTCGGCAAGGGCGAGCCGACGCCGGGCTCGTGAGAGGGATCTGGCTGGGCAAGACGATCGAGTCAGACGAGCACCTGTTCGGAACCGACGAGGGCGCGTTCGCGACATGGGCGGCGATGAGGGTGCCGACAAGAGACCAAGTCAAGATCGACCTGGCGGAGGCGCTCACACGCGCGCTATGGGACACGTCTGCTGGGGGGCCGATGGGAAGGCCACGGATGCGAAGCTAGGCGCCGAAAGCGGCGCCAGTCATTATGCCATTGCCGCCGCAGGGGCTGGATGACCAGCAGGCTGCAGGAGGAGCAGCATCACAGGCAGCTGCGGCACCGGCAGGAGCAGCAGCGCAGCAACGAGCAGCACCAGCAGCTCCTGCAGGAGACGCCCCAGGCCCAGCGGCAACGGCGGGGGATCTGATGGCGCAGCCACCAAAGCGAGAAGCAATTAGCCGAGGAGGAGATAGACGCGATGGAAGAGACCGACATCTTTGAGCCTGTCGACTGCGCCCCCGACGACTCGCGCATCCTGTCGACCAGATGGGGGAATGCGCCGATGGGGGCCCGGCGAGTGGAGGCGCTTCAAGGGAAAAGGCCCCGAGCTAGAAGGG